AACTTGACTGAGCAATCTGACCAGCTGACAGTAAATATTTTGCTTTTTACTTAAATTGCCACTGATTTGGACTTGCGCACTATAATATTTTAACTTATTAATGCTATATTGTGCAGTAGCATTTCATTTAACTTTAAGATAAGGCTCAAATAGTATTACCCAGTTAGTTAGTAATGTGATTATGTGGTACCTTGGCTTTAGATTTAATTAGCACGAAACACCTTTTGGCATGCTTAGCTTTCAGGTAACACCCTCACCTGCATCAGAGCATTTTTTGTAGATCCCCAGAATGTGAGGATCCTTTTTTGATAAGCCTCAGAAAGCTGATACTTTCTTTTTAAAATTTTCCTAAAGAAGGGATGTATTTAAATGGATGCTGATTGGTGGGACACTGTCAACTATGTGGATATTGGGTGCTTAACTGTCTAGTATTGCCATGTGGATGTTGTATGCGATTGTAAGGCTTATATCACTAAAGATTTTATCCTCCTGGATTTTCATGATCAAAGTTCATACAATATTACTGTATAGACTTATGCTTTGTTGTAGTGTACTATAGTAGCAATAATTTCTGTACATGATCAAGAGTTTATTGCTGTATTTCTTTTACTGTTCTTTTTCCCCTCCCCTTTTTAAAAGGGTTAACATTAGCAAATGGCAAGGTGTAAAAAAGTCATTTAAAGTTCTTAGTAAGATGAAAATTGCAAAATACAGATTTGTGGTTCTTTACTGAATATAATTATAAAGGTTTTTATTGAACGTTGTCAAATTTGTAAGCTTGGAGAAAGATACCAGATTTATAATGCCATTCTGAATGTTCTACAATAGATGTAAAACTCTTTAATATTGTCTTTAAAAATGTTAAATTGAGGATTCTAGTAACTTACATTTCAATTGGCACGTTATATAATGCAAGAGATATTTGATTTTTTGACACAGTGAAAAAGTTCTTTAAAATAGATGTCTCTTTTCTAATTCCATTTTGTTTTAAAGGCATATTTCAAATGTAGTTTTTTTTTTCCATTTAGTAAAAGTTGTCTAATTGATTTGAAGCCTGACTGGTTTTTTGTCTTTTTTCTTTCCGATGAAATTTTAAAACAAACAATAACAACCACAACACACTTTGCTCCGAAGGACTTGTCATTATAGACTTGGTGTGTGCTCGCTCGGTGCCTCTTCAGAAAAATGTCTATACTATATACTTTATAGACTATCTATATCTACATACATGTAGATATCTATGTAGGTGTCTATACAAATACATGTAAACATACATAAAATATGTAAATGCTACTGTCATTGCTTCGTTCTTGGTATACTGGGTTAAATTTAATGGCAGCACTTTGATTTTAAATGTCAGTTTATTCAAATAGTAATCAGAGCTAAGATTGAATAGTAGACTCTTCAAGGATTTTAGATTCAGTATATTTTTGTTGTGGGTATATATAAGGAAGGCTTGGAAAATGTGTTTTAGATGGCATGGAAGATAAAATAAATTGTATGTTTTGTTAACTGTACATAATACATTCAAACCTCATTAATTCAAATTCATTTAATTGGGAATTTGTAATAATTCAGATAGAACTGAAGTTTGCCTTTATACAATCTGTGAAAAAAGATGACTAATTATGTAAATTTTTATAATATAAGCTAAATTAGAAGAGGGTATAAACTAAACTAGGAGGAGGAATAAGCTAGCTTATTTGGGGAGTATGTTAGCCTACTTAAGAAATTTTTTAACCCCTCTCAACCACTTTAGCAACATCATTTGCATATAAATAATGTGTTCATTACAAATGTTTATCTACTTGGCTACACTGTTACATATTGCTATGTACTTGAAAGTAATAAAACTTAATTTCTTTTTTTAACAAAAGTCCTATAATTCTGGTGTCACTAATTCAGACTATTCCCCTACCGCAGGCATTACAGCTTAAAACATAAGGCTTCAGAATAATAATAATCTTCAAAACTATGAGTTTACATCAATAGCCCAAGCAGTATTACCAAAAGACAGCAGTGACATTTTTAGGAATATGTAGGTGGTCTTTTTTATACTTTTTTGTTTTTGTTATAAGAGAAGTGTGACTTTACTGCTTCATCTTCCATTATGTTTTCCCCATGTTGACCATGTCCAAAGCGATGCTGCTGTAGGTAACAAGGCACTTGATTTAACTTCATTGGAGATGTTTAGCACTAAATAATATTATTGCCTTCTTCTGCTAGATTCAAGTTTCAGTAATCATCTAAAAACAGCAAAGATCTAACATTCTTTGATTCATGGGATCATAGGATTTAAGGTTGAAAGGACCTCACAGATTATCTAATCTACCCCAATTCCCAACCACTTTCACTTTGTAGATGCAGAAGCTGGGTCATAGGTTGTGTGATAAGATCATTGTATCATTTTAAATTCTACTTTTAAATATATATCATCACCAAATCTAGTCAGTTTTCTTCAAAATATCTCCATTATCCATCTTCTTGTGGCCACCACTTTAACCCCATGACTGAATTAGTGCAGTAGCTTCTTCAGCTGGTTCCCTACATCAGTATCTTCCTTCTAATGCAAGGCATTTCCAAACTTTGTCAGTTCCTGTACTCTTAGTTTTCAGTAAATGTTCCCTACATCCTATTAAATATGAAAAGAAATTCTTGAGTTTAACATGCTATATATTTAAGGAATGAAAAGGATTAATTTTCCATTAAGCTCTATTTGGTACACAGTGTTTTTCCACTAGCACTACTACTTTGAAAATATTTCAGTAGGATGTTATAGATATTTGTTAAATATTCTCCATACTTATTTCATAAGTTTGTCATAACCTTTGGGATTATATGTATCACAGGTTAGGAACCCCACCTCTAATCTATCCTATACATGGCAACCAGATTTTTTTACTTTTTGTCGAAAAACTTAGTTGTTTCCTGTTGTCTGTAGGATCAATTCAACTCATCTTTGCATTCAAAATCATCTAAAATTCATTTTACCAAAAGGTACAGTGTAATGTATTGGGAATTGCACTGAATTTGGAGTCAGAGAATTCAAGTTCAAGGCCTGGCTCTGTCACTAGTTAACTCTTATGACCTTGAGCAAATTATTTAATTTCTGTGGACTTCAGTTAATTCATATAGTAGAAGAGGCATAGGTTATATGATCACTAAGGTCCCAATGTGGCACTTTATATAGTATAGGCAAATACTATGGAAATTCTGAAAGAGAACACGGTAAGGAAAAGGCGTCATGGAGAAGGTAGGATGGTTTAGATGTGATGATAACAGGAACCACATAAAGAAAATTGAAAAGGCAGACCTGACCGATTCATAGTTAGAACGGTCAGATATAAAGTTGAGAGTGGCCTGGATGGAATGTAATGTGATGTAATTTTGCCAAGAAACTAAAACTTGAGAATGTAATGTTGGGGGGCAGCTAGGTGGCACAGGGAATAGAGCACCGGCCCTGGAGTTAGGAGAACCTGAGTTCAAATCCGGCCTTAGACACATAACACTCACTAGCTGTGTGACTCTGGGCAAGTAACTTAATCCCAATTGCCTCACCAAAAAAAAAGAATGTAATGTGGGACTGGAGTTTGGGTTACATTGGATGGGCAAAAGGAGACCAACCACCCATGTTTGGGGAGAATAAAGGTATGAATATAGCAGTTGTATGCAGCCTTTTCTTTTCTGGGGGGGGGCAGTTGGGGTTAAATGACTTGCCCAAGGTCACATAGCTAGTAAGTGTCAAGTGTTTGGTCTGAGGTCGGATTTGAACTCAGGTACCCCGACTTCAGGGCCAGTGCTCTATCCACTGCGCCACCTAGCTGCCCCAATGTATGCAGCTTGTTTTAAGAGAAATACATGTCTAGGAACCTAGAAAGTAGGCTGTTATAAAATCCATGTATAAACTAATGAAAATCTGGACTGGCCACCTTGATTGAGACAGCAAATATAGCTTATTTAGATGGCTTCTATAGAAGGTACAAAGAAAGGGTTTGGGGGGAAACAGGCTTTCTGTCCATATTAAATAACAGTGCAAAGCTGCGTGTAAGTGCCAGATAAGTACTCACATTTCAGAGATTTCAGATCAGCAAGAACTGTAATGTGGAAAACAATAAAACAGTTTATTGATAGGATGTTTATAAAGAAAAACCGTTGTAGTTGAGCAGCGTTCCACAGCACTGTCCCCAGGGGCTTTCTTGTTTAGAGATTAGCCAACATTCCTAGAGTGATTCTTTACTGTGAGAAGTAAAGAAATGTTTTAAAAGATGGTCAAATTTGAACTGATACTTGGAAGATGAATATAATTTAGAGAAGTGAAGAAAGGTAGTAGAAAATGGGGAAAATTTAAATGTTAGGGAAGTGGAAAACATGTGATTAGGGGTAGGGAGGGAAATGGATTGATGCCACAGACCTGGATTGCCAGGCTGGAGAATTTGGACATTATTCATAAGATCAGGGATTCAGCCTGGGGTCTGTGGATTTTATTTTCATATTTTAATTACTAAATATAATTAGTTTTCTTGATAATCCTATGTATTTTATTCATTTGAAAATATTCTGTGAAGGTGGCCATAGCTGTCACCAGACTACCAAAGGAACCTCAAAAAGGGATCTATGACATAAAAATCTGTTTTAGGCAGTGTTTAAAAAAGGTGTTTTTTTAAAAATAACCTGACAGGTATGTAGTGTTAAGATTTTTCAAAGCTTTTTTCCCCCCAAAGATTTTTCAGTTCTTATTTGAGACTCCCAACAGTTTTGTTCGGGTACTTATCCTGACTTTACAGGTGCGGAAACCAAGAGTCTGAGAGATTAAATGCTTTGCCTGAAATCACACAGCTTACAAATGTTGGAGGCAAAATCGTTTGATACCCTTTCTGTTATATTACAAAGCAGGCTTTCAAGCAGAGGAGTGGCTCTGATGTTAAAAGCGGTGTTTCAGGAAGACTGACCTGGCATAAATACAGGATACACTGAAATGAGGAAAGATGACACAAGGGAGATTGATTCAGAGGTTGTTTTAATACCTTAGGCATGAGGTAATGAAAGTATTTTAAGTCTAAGTGACTAAGAGAATGATGGTGCCATTGAAAGAAATGAATAAATCAGGAGGGAAGGCTGGCTTGAAGAGAAATAATAGCTTGCATTTTTGAAGAACTTTAGTTTAAAACAATTTTTCATAACTATTCAGAGATTGTCATTTTACATAAAAGGTGACTGGTCTGTAGAGTTTAGGGCTTATCAGATCACGTGGCCAGTAAGTATCAGATCCATTGACTCTAATCCATGACTCCATACTACACTGAGTTTGAGAGAAGTTGAGGATTTTTTGTGTGTATTTGGCGGGGGGGGGGGGAAGTGTGGGGAGACTGGACCTTTGATTTTGTTAGTGTAAAGGAGCCCTGGGAAGTTGTGATTAGCCCAAGATCATACAGCCAGTATGTGTCAGAGATGGGAATTCAAGACTTCCTGACTCTGAGGCTGGCTCTATACATCTACACTGCCTCTCAATTTAGGGATACTGAGAAGAAAAGTCTCCCAGAGAGGTCAGAGCTAGAGATGTAAATTTGGAAGTTGTCCATGTGTGGGAGATTATTTGTTATTTGTTTAAGTTGCCAGTGACTCAAGCCAGCAAACATTTAGCAAGAGTGAATGAAGCAGATCAGCTAATTGGATAGATATTTTTTTTTTAAATGAATTAAGCCAGGCCTGGTGGTACAGTGGTATAGTCCCTCCTCCTGGGGAAGCTGAGGTTGGTGGACCACATACATTTGGGTGTTGTGAGCTGCAGTACTACTAAAGCTGATTGATCAAGTGTATACATTACATGTAGTACCAATATGGTGAGCCTTCAGGAACAGGGGGCCATTTTCAAAGCTTCCATGCCAGTCATCAGTGAGGTCAGGCTGTGAATAGTCAATGCATGCACTTCAAACCTAGGTAGAGGATAAAACATAGAGGATTACCAAATTTAACCTTTTTGTTTATGCTGGTTTTCTTTCCTGGAATATTCTGGCTTCTCTTTGATTTTTCCAGTTCTTGCCCAATTTTTCCAAACCGAGCTGAAGTCCCAACTCCTCCTTGAAATCTTCTCACAGTTTAATCCTGATTTGGTCTCTAGTACATCACTATGCAATTTAGAGCTGCTTTGACTTTACGATTTCATTTATAGGAGGAATGGTTAATATGGATATTGTTCAGTTCCTTAAATATTATATCAGTTCTCTGCTCAACAAATATTTCACATTTGGAATAGTAACATCCAGTTTTTATAGACAGTGTAAAATCTGGGTGACTCTTAGCACCCCTGCCTTCTTTATTACCATACCTAATCCTCACTGCAGAAGGGATTCTCACAGTAATCAAAGCCATTTTGTATTTGTTTGTTTGTTTCATGTGTCACTATAGCCAAAGGATTTATGTGGCCAACTTGCTCATAGTGAGCTCCACATTTAGACTACTTCTTGGACAGTCAACAAAGTATGTCACCAGGATCATATCCAAAGCCTGTCCATCCTAATAGATCCTGTTAGAGTTTGTGTTCCTCTGGAATAATGTTTGAGAACTTAGGGTCACCTCTATGCTGCAATAAAGTCATAGGAATAAGACTTTTCAGTAAGTAGGTTTTTTATATCCTAAAAGATGTTGCCTCTATAACTAAACACTACTTGAGCTGTGATTTGACCAGGATACTGTAAAAAACAAACAAACAAACCAAAAACCTTTGTTTTGGCTGCTGTACTTCTGTTAATTCAGGCTAACAGTTTTTGTTTTTGTTTTGTCTTACTACTGTGTCACACTGTTGACTTATTGAGTATTGAATGTAGCATACAGAGCTGACCTCCAAGCCAGGAAGACCTGGGCTCAAGTGTTTTGACACATACTGCCTATATGTAATCCTTGGCAAATCATATCACTTCTCAGTACTTAAGGCAGCTCTAAGGTTTATAAGATTCAGAAAAGATGCCAACCTGCACTGGTAAAAGGGGGCTTTCTATACCAAGAAACTCATAGGTATAGTCTCTGTCCTTATTGAGTACACACAATACACTCAAACATCTACTGATTAATCTTGCATGCACTATAGTTCCCAAAGGAGTTGCCTGTGAACATTGCCTAAGAACACGTAATCAATCAGGATCAAGGCCTGTACTAGAGAGAATCAGAAAGCTTCACAAATGAGAGGGATGAGGTCTGTTGATCTGTTCTCTTCTGAGCACCTTCAGTAGCCTCCCTATTGCCTATAGGATAACACACAAACTCCTTTGTCTGACCATCCACATTCTGTTTCAAACCTATCTTTTGAACCTTATTTCATACTATTTTCCTTAGCTGCTCAACATTCCTGACAAATCTGACTTCTGTTCCCTAGTCTTGTATGGTGTGAGACCTCTGTGTGAGGTTTCCCTTCATGGAAGTTGGACTGAACAGAGTCCAAGCTCCCTTTCAATTCTTAAATCCTACTTTTCTGTATTCATGCAAGCTATTCTTTGCCTGAAATGCACTCCTTCCTCACTTGCCTTCAGTAGCACATTTACTCCAGAGGAAAGTCTTTTTTTTCTGTCTTTAGGTCTCTAATTATGTTGGGTATTAAGGAAATTTGTCAAAATGACTAAAAGCATTCACTAGCTATGATCCTTTGTTTTTAGAAGCTAGTGAGGACAGCAGGTGCTATATACTATTGAAAGAAACAAAACATAGTCCCTTCCCTGACTTTTACAGGCCCATAGAAGAAAGCTTGCAGGAGTGAGGCTGTGGTTCTCTCTCTGGGCCTCAGTTTCATCTGCAAAAGGGGGAGATTGGACTAAATACCTTTCACAATCTGTTCCCGCTTAAATCTAATCTTATGATCTTGTCCAACTAGAATAAGATCCAACTTCCCTTTTTTTTTTCCAGAGAGTTTAGTACTACGAAAGTACTTAGTCAAGTCACACCCTTACTGGTGTGCCAGCCAGCTAACCATAGAATCTAGGGTCTTTCCATTTTCGAATTAGTGCTCTTCCCACTACATCTCCCTGCCCCTGAGCTGGCTCTAAAGAAACAATTTCTCTAGAAGAAAATAACTAACAGGCGGTAGTTATACGTTATAGGGTTCTGGGATACGCCCCCCCCCAAAAAAAAGATCCACGCAAAAGTAAACGTTAATATTTGCCAACTTGGTAATCGGCATTAATTGAATAACATCCCAGTGCATGCCTTCCTTCGTGTATTTGCTTATTCATTATAAAGCCTTCCTTCATGTATTTGCTTATTCATTATAAAGCCTTCCTTCATGTATTTGCTTATTCATTATAAAGAGTTCATTACACGCCATACACTTTGGAACAGAACACAAATTTCCCTGCCTCCCCCAGGCTGTGCCAAGCCGGTGCCACTGGTACCCCGTGGAAGGCGCCTAAGCTAGGCCGTCCCCGCAGTAGACTTAGAACTGGAAGGGGCCCAGCACGGAAGAAGAAACAGGCCCCGAAAGGCCTGCCCAAGTGGACAAGATGATGGCGATGCGGGGCGTTAATTATGGCCGCAGCAGCTCTGCCACATTTGCAGTAGGCCCAAGCTCTCTGGGTGTGAGCGGCGGACTGGACTGGCGCGTGGCGCGGGGAGGGCTGCGCACTTCTCGGCCCGCGCGGTCGCGCGACGCCCCGCCCCGGGCTCCTTGGTGCCCTCTGATTGGTCGCCTCGAGCCGGGCTCGCGCTTCCTCGCGCTCCCTCCCTGTGGGTTGGCGGGAGGCGCGGAGTGTCCCGTGGTGTTCAGCTGTTTGCCGTCGAGTGAAGTAACTGCTGCCGACTTTCTGTGAGGCCGGACGCCACAGGATTTGCCCCTGCTCGTCCTTTGTTCCACAGACCTAGAGCCCAGGCGTTCTGTCACTCCCAGGTACCTCCCCCGTCTCCAGGTTTGGTTGCCTCAGGAGATCGCCTCTGCCCCGGAGGCTCCAGAGAGCGAGCAGGCGAAGAGGGACGTCCATCGGGCGCTTTCCCGCGGGGCTTTTCCTGGACAGTTCCCCGGACTGAGGCGGCCTTGTCTATCGCCCCTCCTTGTCCTAGGAGTAGCGGGTGGGGCAGTGGTGGGGAGGGAGGATAGGCCGAAGAGGGGGCGGTGTTGAATTTAAGCGGGCGTGGCTGGGCTGTCCGCTCAGGCCCGGTCAGTGCGTGTGAAGCTTTTGAAGCGGGGTGGGGAGCGCGTGAGGGAGGGGATGTGGGTGTGTGGTGGGTGTGCATTGGGGGGAGATGTGAAGGAAGGTGTGTGGTGAGTGTGCATGGAGGGGTGTGAGGGAAGGTGTGTGGGTGTGTGGTGAGTGTGTATGGGGGGTGAGGGAAGATGTGAGTGTGCATCGAGAGGGAGGTGTGAGGTGTGGGTGTGTGGTGAGTGTGCATCAAGGGGGGTGTGAGGGTAGGTGTGTGGGTGTGGTGAGTGTGCATCGAGGGGGGAGGTGTGAGGGAAGGTATGTAGGTAAGTTGTGATGGAGTGTTCAGGGATGTGTAGGCCAGCGTGCACAAGCTCCTGGCTCTCCCTTGACGAGAGCTGTGGTATGGGCTAAGACCCCACGAGGGAGACCCCACATCCTTTCATTTTGTGTGGATGGAATTTGACTCACCGCTGTACCTTTTGCTTCCAGTAGGGGGCAGTACCCACAGGTTACAGACCTCAAGGTAGCTGGCTGCTAGAACAGGTGAGTTTGAACTAGGGCTGAAATGTCTCATAAGTGTTGAATTGTGGAGACACCCGTAAGACAGCTCCGGAAAAAGCCTTTGGTCATCCATTCCCATAGTTTTGTTTGGGAGTAGGATCTTTTTACCTTACCTATCTTCCAGTGCTTAAGACAAATGCTTCCGTGTTTGTGCACTGCTAAGCACAGCTATTTGCTCTTGGATATTGTGCACCTGAATTTTCTAATTTAAACTGTCTCAGGGGAGGCTATTTCTGTAAATTCACAAAATTGCGTGAGGAGGCCAAACATCACAAAGTTGTTAGTCCTGTAAGCAATATAGCTCCTGGATAATTTCATTGTAATATTAAATCAATATGTATGGGACAAATGAAATTGTAGACATTACCCATAGAATAAATTTATATGATTTATTCAGAACTTTATGCATTGCAAAAGTCAGAGCTGTTTACTTCTGATACCCATTGGATCTAGCACTTTTTCCCTGATTACTTAAAAAAATGCTTGGACTACTATGTAAATAATACTAATTGTAGGCTTTTATGTAAACTGCTTACCATCTGTGCTTTGTTATCATGTAGTACAATACTGACTTTGCATATCATTAAATGTTAAATTATTTTGCTGTAAGTTGCACCAAACTTCCTGATCTTTCTGCTTTCATAACGTAGTCATTTTGTCCATTTACAGTAACATCAAAAAAATTAAGAAATTTTTTTATGTGATCAATCACTCAAAGTTCATTTCATTGCTAAAGTTCATGATTGTTAAAGATGATCCGAATTTTTCATTTAAAAACTGAATAAATGCTTTTTGGATAATTAAATTAATTTTCAAATCTACCATGGTGCTTGCTAATAGAAAGATGTGGTTTTTTTGCTGTTTTCTAATATAGTACTGACAATGTTAAGATTCTATAAATGCTAGCTATTTTATGTAGAAATGAAATTCAGGATATTAAATATTTTCTGTTTTATATTTATAGGAATCTGTTCGCTACCCAGAATGAGACACAATCAGATCTGTTGTGAGACGCCACCAACTGTCACTGTTCATGTAAAATCAGCATCAAGTAGATCTCATCAGCCAAAAAAAGCTATTAATCTTAAGCGTCCTATTTTTAAAGATAGTTGGCAAACATCTGAAAAAAATGCACATAATAATAACAAGTCTAAACGTTCCAAAGGACCATGTCTAGTTATACAGCGTCAAGAAATGACTGCTTTCTTTAAATTATTTGGTAGGTTAAAGCATTTTAATAATTGTATAAGAATGCACTGAATCCAGAAACACTATAGGTCCTAACCAATGACATCCATGGTCTAAAGAGATTGGATTAGTAATCCATGTAGGAAAAATCAAGTGGATGATGAACATATATAGACTAGATCATGACACTGAACTGGCTAGGAAGCCCACTGGATAGGCAGTACAGATGGTCAATGAGCTGGACCTAGAATTAAATAGGAGCATGTCAAGCTGGTGTTCATTTAGGAAATTAGGTAGTGCTTCTAATGATTCCAAGCTGTTCACTATTGCAAAAGCCTGTCTCTTTATTTTAACATTTAAAAAAAGTGGAATATTTTTGTATGTTATAGTTCTTTAATTTTTGAAGATGGAGGCTACTGTAGAAAATTGTGAAAGCTATAGAAACAAGAAAGGCATGTGGGTTAGTATTTTCTGATATCTTCTCAGTCACCTATTTGTTGTTAAAGTGCCATCCTTGATCTTTTTCATTATTTGGGGATTTTTTTATATAATTGAGTAACCTTAAAAAATAAAGCCATGTTTGGCCTTTTCCTTTATTTTGGAATATTTTTTGTATCTTGGATTTAGTCGAGATCTGGAAAAATGATCTCTGAGTGCCTTTGAAATTGTCATCTTTAGCACGGAATGGTGTGTATACTTGATCAGGTGAAACTACTATCTCATCTTATTAAGTGCCACAACTTCTTCAAATAGCCAATCAGGTAATGAAGTGATAAGTTCAATTATAGTGGTTCTACTATCATTTATGATGAGAACAGATCACACCAAGACACTGACAGGATTGTTCCATTTCATGTATATTTAGTCTTCTTGTTTCATCTTTAAATGCTTAGGATAATCTGGCTTAGTTGGATCTCATGCCAAGCTTTCTGTTAGCTTGTTTTCAGTTTCCCTTTTTTGCTGCTTTTATGAAGCAATATGCTTATAATTATGATAATCATTCGTAATATTTTGCTTATTCATAATGGTTTGGTTCAAGTTTGATATAGAAAATTGCTTTGTTTCAGTTTTGTTCTGATTCATTAGTTTTAGAAAATACATATTTAGGTTCTTTTTTAAGGTCAGTTATTACATTTTTTAAAAGTAGATAGTAGTTCAGTAAAAAAATGTTTTCCATGCTTTGGGTTCAGCAAACAACAATTTTTTCAGATTTTCATTCAAAGTTTAGTTCAAGTATCTGACAAAAGAGTGATGCAGTATCTTAGTAGCCAAAATAAATAAATTGCAATACATTGAACACAAATATAGATAAGTTGATTTACATGCCTTTTAGAAAAGAAGGAGAATTTAGAGTTGCCCAAAGCAAATGTCTTAAAATTCTATTGGCTCCAGTAGTGTAGTACTTTATAGTCATCTCTTCCTTTACCAGTCTCATCTTCTATATACAAGCAAATAAGAGGTTGAAGATAACTGCTGAAAGCAACAGGTAGTTAGGTAATTCTTGCAGTAACAATCAGTGGTGCCTGAGAGCTATATTTAGGTCATTTCTGTTTTGGTCGTTCTTATTTAGCTTCATAGCAAATATTTATAACTCATGTAGAAATAGTTTATTTTAAAAAGAAAACAGTTTATTTTAAAAAGAAAAGTAATAATAACCTATTGTTGCAGATGATGACTTAATTCAAGATTTCTTATGGATGGATTGCTGCTGTAAAATTGCTGATAAGGTAAAGCATGTCATGATTAGCAAGTGACATTTAACATTGGTGTCTACATCTTAAGAATTATAATTAAAACCAGTGTGTTATTAATCAGATCTAAGAAAAGAGATGTGCTTTTACTGCTTCATGATTTCAGTTTTTGTGAATTTCTTGAGGTGAAAATATTAAAATCTAGATCTATGATCCTCATTCTGGATCAGTTCTATTTGTGTTTTCAGGATTGTAGGATGTTGATTGAATATGATGAGAGAGAGGTCTTATAGGTCTTAGATCTGTTCTATTGTAAATAAATAGTATTAATCATTTAAAATTATAACAGTTATGGTAGAAAGCACTGTAGTATTTAGATTAATTCAACCTAGATATTCTGCTCTGTACTTTAATATTTTTTAGGAAATTCAGATAAAAAGAGTTACAGTGATAATTTTGAAAATGGGTTCTTCTGAGAGGTCTTATTTTGGATCTCAAGTATAACTTTTTGTATAGAATGAGGTCGGTTCTAGGGAAAAGATGATCCTGCACAAACAGCAAAGGCACTCCTGAGTAGCTCTGATTACAGTACTAGATATCTGATTACACCATGTAATGTAGGTAGGTAGGCACAGAAGAACCACCATGCCATATTTTATCATAAAGTGGCAGTTATGGAAAAGAAAAAGATTGTTGGCTGACCAAGACGTCCAAAATAGAATTCATCAAACTATTATCTTCCTACTGAAGTCCACATCTCTAACTTAACTATTTTTGTCAAGGGTACCCACTAGTAACTAAAATTTCATCCTTCATCCAATTCTTCATTCCTCTCCTTCTCTGTGATATCTGATTAGTTGCTTAATCTTATCAGGTCTATCTCCACTACATCTGTTCCATCTGTGCTCTTTTTTCCACTCACATGGCCACTGACCTAGTTCATGCATAAGACATTCCAGCTCTCACCTCTATACCTTTGTATAGATTGTTTTCCATGTATTTTGAATGTTTTTCCTACTTACCTCTTCCTTTTGGAATTCTTGGGTCCCTTCAAGGCTCAGTTAAAGTTGACACCCATTTCATGATACCTTTCCTAATCTCTTCAGTTTGTATTTTTGTCATAGAACTCTCCTCTCCCCCACAATAAAAAAAATTTACTTTGTTGTTGGTGTATGTTTATTTGTTTACCCCTGGTCAGAGATAAGCTTGAAGATGATAAGGAGCATTTCATTTGTATCACAGTGTTTAAATGCTTTAATTCAATTGAATTCAATTGAATTAGATGGCTAATAATTATTTGTTTAGTATAGCAGCATTATTTCAAGATTAATACAAAGAGCTCTGTTGGACTTAAGCACAATCTCAGGCAAAATTTTAATTTGAGGTAATGTGCAGTACAACAGTTGAAGCTGTTGAACAGCAGATGGCAGTGTTTACAAATTAACAGAACAGACTTTGACTATCTCTTGTACATTTAGAACTAGGAGGGACTTCAGAGATACAATGTCCCTATTTTACAGATCAGGAATTACTCTTTCAGCCTTTTGGTAAAGATCAAGTGAGGCCTAAAGGGGGAGAGTGACTGCACAAGGTCTGAAAGCTGGTAAATAGCATTCAAACCTAGGTCCTTTGATGACTCTAGGTGGGTTCTCTCTATTGATGTTTACTAAACTAGAAATTAAAATGTCTTATTATTATTAAAATAGTTTTGACTTTCTGTATCCCCTGAACAGGTCTCAGGAACCCTCCGGGTTTCACAGACCATACTTTGAGAACCACTGCTATAGCCATAGGGAGACTGAACTCAAACCTATGTCTAGTGAAGAAAAGAAAACTAGGTAAAGGCACTGGA